ACACACAACAGGTGACAAATTATCGGTCAGTAATTACTAATTTTTAGATTGTGACAACTATAGACACGGACCCGGACATTTCGCCGCCAGAACAAGGGACTTTATTATATAATGGGGAGCGTTACCTGACATGAGTAGGGGGGGGGGGGGCTAGGATTTTATTGCGGTCCCCGTAGACCGTTTTGGCTCTATTTTATTTTTTAACAAAACTAATAATTATATTATTTTTGAATAACATTTAATAGGTATATTAGTAAAGAGAAAAAACGAAATACTAAAAAAATCGTCGTAGGTCCGAAAGGTCTTGATTGACCTAACCGCCACAGAGCAAGTTCTTATTAAATTAACTAAGCTGAATTTACCACTTTCAAGTAAAAAATTACGATTTTGAATGGGCACCCCATTCAGCAACTGTTTAATCTGTACGTTTATTGGCTTGATAAAACGCATGTCTACCAGTGAAGTAGGACTTTACTGGCTTATAATATTTATTTAAAAGACCATTGAGTATAGCATAAGTCTGAATGTTTGGTGTGCTTGGAACGCGTAAAATGAATACAATTTTATGAATCTCTTCACTTACCGATGAAAGCAATATGGTTTTTTTTTAACTTCGTTTTCGATTTCGTTTGCCGCAAAACAATTTGTCAGCTTAGATACGAATATGGTCACGTCCATTCCAGGTTCAAATGTTCCGGGTGTTCCAATTACTTGATTGAGTTTAATTGTTTCTTTGGTTTCAACCATTTTTTTTTTATTAATTCACTGAACTTGTTTGACACGTAAATAATTTAAATTTACTTTTTATAGACAGTATGGTCTATGTGAGAAATAAAGAGTTTTCCTCGTCGCCAATTTGTTATACCTTAGTATGAAAGTAGAACACAATTAGATTAATGTAAACAATAATATTCGCCGATGTTTATTATGAAACCCAAGTTACACAAAAGACAAGTTATGGCGGTGTAACACTCGCGGATGGTGGACAATCCCACCATATATATTTATATAAACTGCTGATACGTAACACTAAATACTGAAAAATGTAGAAAAAGATGTACCTATAAGTATGGGAAAAAAAACCATTTCAATAATAAAAGTAAATGTTTAAAACTGATATACCAATATTTCAAGCTAGGTATATCCGAAACATTTATCCTGCGCTGTTTTGCCTATGTTGTTGGTCATGTTTTAGAAGTTTAAATATATATATTTTTTTTGTTATATTGGTGGTTTTTCTCGTATTACCGAATATATTTCAAACGTTTCTGAAAAACCCATAAGCATTGATGATCTTTTTGAACCGCGGTTGTGTTGATAAGGTCATGAAGAAATCATTGCCAAAGTTGTCAATTCATATTAAAAAATAACATAAACTATTTAGTCGTCATATAAATGAAAAACAATAGATACAATAATTATTATATGGCTTTATTAGACACTGCTGTTGGACGGAATAAATAAAACTAATACTAAACAACTGTCCTATTTTTTCCTTCAGTGGTTGTACAGTTTTAAGATTTTGATGGAATTAAAAAAAATATATTATACGATGCACATCTTTTTTTTTTATATTTTAGTAAATTAAAACGAGAAAAAAAATTAGTTTTAAACAATTATTAAAAACGAAGCTAACGACAAACCGACGTTCAACCAAAACTTATTAATTCAACAGTGGATATTTATATAAAAATTATCATAACCCAATTTATCTAACTAATTGATTTAAAGTCTTTCAAATGCTTTTTGGTTATTTTAGAAATCTCATTTTTTTTAAATATTTCAAAAGGCTACGGATCTTTTGATTGACGTTATAACGATAACTTTAAAAAAATCGTCAACAAGTCATGTTGGCCTTGAAGTTCTAAAGACCATGAGTATTTGTCGTACACCGTTATTAAAATGCAAGTTTTATCTAAAAAATGGACACAGTCTTTTGGCTTTGTATAATATTTCTAATACAAACGAGCACTGTATTTCATTTATGCAAACAGTGCAAAACGTAAACGCACATCGAATCACACAAGTTTTTTTCTAAAGTAGAAGAAATATATTTTCGTGTAAACGCTTAGGCAAGAATTCAGTAAAAAATAATTTAATAAAAAAAACCAGTACGCAAGGATGAAGTGAAACATCTTTCGGAGTCATTCAACTGATACATTAAACTAGCGATATCATATTATTGGCCAGACTGTAATTTTTAATCACATATAATGAATTCCAATAAGAGTTTCCAAAAATGTCATATTTATTTTTCGTTATTCCATTCTTTATACCATGGAGATTCATTAAAAATATGTTGATGATACCCCTTCTTTGAACAATTTAATCTAATTAAATTAAAAAAATGCAATTGATCACCAATTATTTGAATAAAAATCCACCGTCAGTTGCTCCCACACGTTAGCCGAACTCAATAAACACAAAATTACAATTGAAAACGCGATATCTAATATATATAATCTTATATAGATATATAGTCGGTAACGTTCAGCGTTCGCACGAATTTTCCCAAAATTGATCCCTAGGCCAATGACAAATCCATGTTAAAAAATTAGGGGCCTCATTTTAGGTCAAGACGAACCAATAAGTCCACTAATCAACGGAATCTCGCAAAAGCCTGTTATATATATTTTTTTTTAAAACATTTTTTTACACAAACTGAAGTGTCTCCAATTACCAAAACTACAAGACTTACAGGTTTTATTAGAAAATTTGAACGTACTTGTATATTATTGTAAGGTATATGTTTTACAACGGTATATTATTTTGTTTTCATTATCGATGAGCAAAAAGTAGTCTAAGTAAACGAATGTAGCCAAATGACGGCTGAAAACGTTTAGTATTTTTTCTGGGGGTCTAAAAAAGGTGGACTTTTTAAACTTAAATGCAAACTTATACGCTTGATTTTCTTTTTAAATAAAAAATATTTTGCCGAAAATACAGAGCAATCTTTAGCAATTGATATTTTGATTATTTAAAATATGCCAACTACTAAAAGTATCGATAATTATGTAAAATATTGAAATTTGTCATAAACAGTCGAACAAACGGTAGCCTTAGATGACAGCTGTTAAAGTATACTTAGGATGTGAGTCTTCTTTTTTTTTTTACGATTCAGCTGCTACGGCTGACGATACACAAATACAAATTTATACGTCTTGGGACAAAATATATATTATAGGCAAATTGTGATTTTAAATCTTAAGTTTCAAAAGTTTCTATCAAAAAAATTAAGTTGTGAGGGGGGTGAAAAACAAAAAAAAAAATAGTGAAAAATTTAGATCATATTACAACAATCTGAAAAAACATGCTCTTCTAAAAAAAAAAAAATATTAAAAAGTAAACTAAAAAGTAAAAAATAATTTTATAACAAGAACAGTTTAATCAATTGTAGCATATTTTATATAAAATGTCAATTACTTTGATAACAACCGAAAATTTACTACAATTTTAAATAATATTAAACATCTTTAGTTTTTGACTAAAATAAAAACGTGAGTACACTTGTTATAAAATCAATTTTTACTTTTAGTTCACTTTTTACTATTTTTTTTTTTGGAAAAGCTTGTTTTTAAAAAAGTTTTTTTTAATTTATTTTATTTTTTTAGTTTTTAGTCCTATTAAAGGTATTTAATAATTGCTGAATAGATTACTAAATTAATTTTGAAAGATTTGAAAAAACATGAAGTTTTAGTGAAATGACCCTGACATTTGACCCTGTGTAGGGTGACCTGGATGGCCGAGTCCCAATTTGATTACAGGATATTGTATTGTCATCTAAGATGAGTGTCTGTGCCAAGTTTCAGCCCTATACGACATCGAAAAGTCGGTTAAATTCATTTGCAAGATTTGAAAAATACCCGTACAAACGAGCTAAAGAAAATCATGTAAAAATGTAATAATTTCTTATTAAACCCTATGAGATATTGAGTGGTTCGTGATAAAAGAATCACCCTGTATATAAAAAGTAATAGTAAGTCCCTTTCAGTATGTACAGCCAAAATCACCTTGTACTTGAAACTATACCGTATTGTTTTTGTCAAAAGCGCGCGAATAACAGCAGCTTTACAAACATGACATTGAACAAATAAAGCCTTAGCTTAAGTGTTGCATACATCAGCTAAAAGAATACCTTTATTACAATTGCATTGAAATTCGTTGGGATTTTACATAAACGCGTGACACAGCGTTTGAAAAATTATATTTTATGTATTTTCTTTAATCTTCTCGCTTTTATAGTGTGGAGCATTTTTTGCCACTGACCCCCCATACCCTTTGATATAAGGCATACATAGCTTCAAAATTATACATTAGGAAAAATTGAAAATTAAGCGTTTATAAGTTGCATCAAACAGAATTTTTTCTTAAACTCTAAACGTTATACCGCATGAACGTGAAATCCGATCTACCTGTTTATTATCTTCTATTAAAGCTATGAAAATAATCCATCTCCTCGCTATTATGGTGTGTAGCATTTTTTGCCGTACGAAAAAATCCTCAAATTTACATAATAATTAATATCCATATTCCACACCCCCCCCCCTCCTGCCGTCAACATTATCTGATTATCGATTTTTTGTATACATAGATAGCTTAAGCCATAAAGGTACAGACTAACCAAGTAAGGTATAAACCCGCGTAGGAAGACTGTACCAAAATCGAGTCCAGTATCTACACATGCGTATATCAATTTTTTTTTTGTTACATTTAAATAATAGTAAAAACTTAATACGGCTTTGCAGTTTCTTGGATATTAACGTTACGGTGAAAAATACAAAAAAGAAATCGTTTTCTTTGCTTTAGGAAGGACGGGGAAGGGTAAAGTACGCGAAACGACCATTAAACGTTGTACCTATCCAATGGCGCCTTGTTATTTGTTCAAGTTTTTCTAAAAAATCTAACCTACCCTCTACCAATATTACTATCGTTAGAAACAAATTTAATGTAACTGTAAAAAGTGTTTTATACAACGACGATTCAGTCTATACAACATACTTCGTAGTGAGCAGTTATAGTTTTGTGAAAAACATTAGGGTTCATATTATAACCAATATTATCGTTTGATCGTAGATGTCATCCGTTTTGATTTTTTTCAAAAAATAACAAATATAAGTTTAAAAATGTTTTTGTTCCAAATCTTCGTGATTGCACTATGCAGTCTTCGCCGTTGCCAAACGATGATCACACATGAAACCATTCGAAATTTGCAACAAACCGAGTTGGTATTTATGCCATTGAAGTTTTCAGACACCACGTGCTACACTCCCCAGCCCGAAAACCCGCGAACAAGATGTGTTAGTATCCCGAAAGTTGCGATAGATTATAAACCATACGGTTTGGCACCGCCTTTTACGGTTACTGAACAGCTGAGCCATAGTATTTTCTTCACTGGAATTTCGCTGGCAACCACATTACAAGATGCAGACAATTTTATGGCCTATATACGGGAACCGTATTGCTGTCGTGCCGTCAACCAATCATTGCAAGAAGTGATGGACAACTGTATAAAAAATGAATGTTACGTTGAGGCAATTATTCGGCTTATGAACGTGATCGAAAGTGAAGGTATTTCGATATTGAGTAGATTATTTCATATATCAAACACAATAATAAAGAATCTGACAAATACGGAAGTCAATACTTACTTAAATAGGATCGATCCTATAATACAACTCATTTACAACAAGTTTAAAACTTATTTTATATCGCCTGTACCGGTGCATCAAATAGTAGATGCCATTTATGTATTAAGGGTGAAACGATCATTGAAAAAACGAAAACAATTCTTCAATGACTCATGCATGGAGTTTAGCCAACGATATGGTAACATGATGGGCTTGGCGAGTGCTGGCAATTATACGAACGTCGAAGATATACCGATTATCAGAATAGTCAACCTAGAATTAGAAACTATCATAGAACGTGCCAATGTGTACTTCAAAAGAGAAACGGGCGCCGGACCTTGGCCAGGTAACGAATTCAATGTACTGGATCAACTCCGATATGGGCTTATAAATAGACAATTATAATATTTTACGGGTGCATCGGTTGAGGCCAAAATCAACATACACATTTTTGAACTAATGACTTGGAAAAATTATAAAATTGAAGCTTGCATATATAATGCATATGTATTATTTAATAACAAAAATCTACGTTATAAATGTATATGCAGTTTAAAAACATTAAATAATTTCCGTATAATATTTGTATAATTATTATATTATGATTTTTCGCTCAAAATGCTTTTCGTCAGTTAACATAGTGCAAATTTTCCATTTTTTTTTTTGTTGGTTCTCCTTAATGACTTAGTGTTTGACTACATAATTTTGAAAAAATAATTTATATATATATATATATACAGGGTGATCCAACTAACTTAAGACACTCATTTTCTCGGAAAATATGAATATTTCGAGAATTTTTTTTCCCTTAATTTTTAGGTACATATTTTACTACATTTTTTAATATTTAGAATATTTTTATCTCCAACCCTTATACGTAAAACAAGTATCGAGTTTGGTTTTTTAAATGGCGTTTGAATTTCTAATTTTCATCAATTGGTTTTCTACTTATTACGTTGTAAAGATTTGATATTTTGATCCATATTCATTTGGGATTTCCAATAAGGTAGTATAATATTATTATTAAATACTATTAAATAATATTATCGACCCCGTCGTCCGTCGATAAATTCGATAATCAGATAATAGTAATATTTCTTATTTTTTTTTTTATATAATATACGGAGAAGCGGGTTTTTTACCTACTGTCGGAAACCGCGACACCGTATACATGTCTGGTCAATTGTTGTTCACATATCTTATCAGTAGACAACACTTACGACAAAATTTTTTTCTAACCTAACCTTCCCATATTATAATATTATATTATCACAGATTATATGAAAACAGATTGTTCACTCTCGATGTAAACAAAAAGTGTGCTGATAAGCACTCCGCCGAAACCAGTGTGACCATGTCAGCCGGAACGAAATTATCGAACTTGTATTTACCACAAATTATATGATTATTTCATATAATCTGTGTATTTATCATATTAAATGTTAAAAAAATAATAAATGTTATATCGGTAATAATATTGACCCCGTCGATAACACTCTATCATTATCTCAAAGACATTTCATTATTAAACACTGATATATATATATATATCAGTGTTGGAAAGAATGCATTTATTGGATTTCATTCCTTTTTAGAGGAATGCAATCATGATTGCATTACATTTAGTTTTAAGGAATGAGGAATGGGAATTAATTAATTTTATGTCGGAATGTGAATGAATTCTAAAAAAAGAAACACTTCATGGCTATTTAGTAATTTTTAATTGACTGTAATTTACTAATTTATATTTAATTTATGATATATTTTATACATTTTTTCATAGCAAATGAACAGATTGATGAACAATAAATAATCAATTACTAACATTTTTTAAACAGTTTTAAAGGAATTAATTTTCTGAAAAAACGAATGTCTTACATCAGATGAATCACCTGTAGTTTGTACAAGGTGATCTTTTGGTTGACATTATTATTGTGACCAAAAAAAATTAAAATTATTAAAACATATTTTTATATTTAAATTTGTTTTCATTCATAATACTTAAAATAGCATCTAAGTCTTGTATACAGTTTGCATTTTCAGAATAATGGAAATGGTTCTGGCAAAACATTTTTTTTAAACGACCAAAAATGGACTGGTGTCGGATTTATATTATTCCCATTTCCCACCCCCTAGGATGGTTAAAAGTTTTTTTTGTTTTTAAGCCATAATTTTGGGACCTTTAAGTTGAAAATTTGTCAGTTGTTAGAACTCATATGTATCCGTAACATGTTAAACGGAAAAAAATTCGGCACTTCAGTTTTTTATACTATTTTACTAACAATTATACTATTTTATTTATGTGAACTTTGTGATTTATTAATTTTTACTAATTATTTCATGTTCATTATTTTTTATTTATTTTAACCTATTAGCAGGCGCGTATGCGCATTTTGTACTCCAATTATACTTTTAAAGGCACGACTTTTATCTGAGTAGCCTATAGAATTAGAGTAAATAAAAAATTGGTTATATTAAAACACGTATAACTAGGTATATAAATATGCAATACTTTTAGTTGTTTAATACTTTTTTATAATAATTTGTATTATTTTATTTATAATTATTTTTTGTTTATTATTTTTGAATTGATATTATTTTTACAATAACAATGTAATTAAATACTGCGTGTCAATACTATTCATAGTTGATTAATGCTCTGTCAGTTGTCATGCCATATGGTGGACAGCTTAATATTTCTCTATGTTAGAAATAATTAAAATTGTATATTAATAATTATGGATATGTTATGTTTATTGTTTATAATGCATTATATTTTTACTTATTGGGAATTTTAAAATGCCTTATTATTAAATGTATTATTATTTATTAATTGTAATTTATTATTGAAATTAAAATTATTGCCCTTGGATAAGTCATACTATATAGTGTGTAAGATAATATAAAACAACTGTAATTGTAAGAATAATATTATTAAATTATTATTATTATCATTATGGTTATTATTATTTATAAAATGTTTGGTAAATACAAGAGAAACATTCTGTTTAACTCAATTATTTAACAAATGCGAAAGCCCGCGAACACGTTTAAAAACAAATTCCCTTCAGACGGTCACACTGATTTTGGCGGGCCAATCATAGAGCCTTATTAGCAATCCTATTGTTAAAGGCCCGAGTGAACAATCTGTTTTCATATAATCTGTGATATTATCATGCCCAAAAAAAATACGTGCGACCGGCAGGCGGCAACGTGCGTGACTTGTATTGTGTATTCAGAACCCGAAAAAACGTCCTGTACCGTTTTGTTAATACATTGTCAATTATGAATTATGTTTATAAATTCCCTAATTGTAACAAAATTTTATATTGATCTAAAATGAACGATGAAATGATTTCATAAACAAAAACTTGTTCCTATTAGTAATAGTGAACATTTTGAAAATATATTTTTGATATTTGACATATTATGGCCCAGCTACTGGAGATTTGAAAATTTTACATCCATATTCCATAAACATTATACCTAATATTATATTACCCTGATTTGGAAGTAATAACTAATTATTGTTGATGGTAATGATAATGTCAATTAATAAGGCATAGATATTGACGACAAATCGCCGGAATGTTAGTAAGTAAAATTTATCAAATATCTATCACAATAATTTTAATTTATAAAATGAGATTTTTTTTTTAGAAGGAGATTTTTTTTTGAAGAACACTGTTAATTCAACGAAATTCTAATGTGCAATTTATGAGGAAGTGGTTTTTCAAGATCAATATGACGTTTATGATTATCCAGTTATGTTTCAGATATAGGTATGAATGTTTATACATATTTCATAAACCTATAGTATTTAAAACTGATTAAATTATTATCTAGTATTTTTACCATTCTGTCTTTATTTTTAAGACACAGTTGGCATATAAACCGAAAAACATAAAAAAAATACTAGTAATATTGTTTTAGATTGGGTATCTTAAAGGAATTAAAATATGTAAGTTAATAATATTATTATACTTATTTTGTTTTAGATGAAGATTTCTTATAATTAATGTTTCTTTCTACTTGGAATCTTTGAAGAAGGATATAATCAGTGTTAATTAAACTCAAAATTTTGTGTCGAGTAATTTTAACTCATAAAAAATTATTTTTAGCACTATTATTAAATGTTAAAAACATAGTAGTTTTTGTACTTGAAAGTCACTCCATATGTAAAGTTGATTACTCTTTTTTTTAACGTAAATTTGAGTAAGATTTGATGTTTTGTGAACGTTGATGATATGTAGCTTTTCATATAAACTAAAATATTATTATATTTTATATTTGATTGTAATTTTTTATTATAGTAGTTCAAATGCCAAGCGTTTAGTTAATTAATATTTTTTAATCTTACCCAAATTCTGAATTTTATATGCATTGTGGAAATATGGTGATGAAATATAAAATTAAACTATAACTTGGTGCTTGACTATTGTTTGTACATTTTTTATCAAATATTTCTTTTTAAACATTGGTTGATGAAAAAAAACATGTAAGTAACATTTTGTATGATTTATTAAGATATTCCATTATTAATCAACATCAAGTCTAACTTTTTTTGTCATTTTTTAATCACCAAGGGCTCACGTACAAATACAATTTTTAAGACGAGACTGTTTGGACAGTAAATTTGAACAATCAAATTTTAGAAAAACTATTTTAGTTGTAATAACTTACATGTATAAACTAAAGCAGTTTCCTCATAATGATTTTAAAATACAATTTAATATTAAAAATAAATAATGTATTGTCATGTTCTTAAACTAATGTATACAATTTTTAATTTTTCTTATTAACTAATATACCTGTAGAATGTACTTTTAATAATAATTTGAATTTAATGTTTTAATATTTTATTTATATGTTTATACTTGTTAAAACAAATTAAAACTAGTATGGGATTTGGCTTTAATCAGAACATCGTATAACAATTTTTGTTTCATTGATATAAAAATCTAGAAATGTCATAATTTTTTTTAGTTATGTAACTACACATTTTAGGAATTGAAAATTAGTAGTTTCTTGAATTTTGCTTTCCAGCACAAGGTTTATAACGTTAATAACTTTTCCTTATTGACGGTCAGTTTTTTTATTATATATATATATATATATATATAATGAACTATATAAAAAAATTTAATATATCTGCATAAACAAATGAACAAAAATACCAAGGTATTTTACCAAGGTGGCATAAATTATTTTTCTTGAAATTTCCATTTTCTATTTGGTTGCTGAGTTGGTTGTAAAAATGCTTCCTGACAAGGAACTCCTACTCGATTCACATTGTTTTGATTCTAAAAAATAAATATAATAATTTATAATTTACTACTAAGTTAAGTAAAGTTTAAGTAATCAATTACTATTCATTCATTCATTATGTATTATGACGCAAAATTTAAATATATTTGAATATGTAATGGGGTGTTTATAGGTACCAAATAATTTTTTTTTTGTAAACTATATTGTAATTAGTAAAAGGAATGTTTTTCAACTCACCATTCTAGCTTGTTCCATGGCAGAATTTTAAACAAACGCTTTGATGTGAATCTGTGGATAGTATGTTCAAACCAGTTAAAACGATTTAGAAGATATCGTGGGATCAGCAATAATGTACTTAAAATGTAATATTTAGTCTTGTGCAGGGTGGATACGATAAGGGTTGATCGTCTGTCTATAAAAATGTACTGTCATAGTTACCTATATATCGTAATTAACAATATAGTGAAAATATTTTCATTACCCGTTGACTGTTGATTCACTCACACATAGCAACCTAGAAACTGACTACGGCCAAAGTGTAAATTTACCCTCTTTTTGGGGTTTTTCCTAAATTAAAAAAAAATTTGACTACAGATTTTTGAGAAAATTGTATATGTTATAGTTCCATTTTATATCTATCTTCGGTCTAATTTTCAGATCTAAATCTCCAAAGTTTTGCTTGAAATAAAGTGAAATAAAGAAAAAATTGTATCCCTTCTGAGGGAAAGCGTTTATGATATTTTTTTGATTTGTTAATGTTTATCTATAGTGCTATGTTTGAAAAACAATTCACATAAATTTGGAACATTTTCGACTATTTTTAAAAAAGTCATAGAGCATTGTAATTTTAAGTTGAAAAATTTGTAAATTTTTTTGGTGTTTTTCTCGATTTTGATGGAGAAGAGGTGACTTTTTAAAATGTTTGGCCTAATAAAGTACTTTTCAGGTATGAATTCTGATCTATAGAATTGCTACACGAAGAAATCGGTAAAGCGGTTTACAAGATATGGTGTCCCAGACACAAAAATAAAAAACAATACCTTCTCAGCTCCGCACCGAAGCTAAAGTTTAATAATGTAATTTGTTTAAATAGAAATTAAAAATTTAATAAAACGGTATTGATAACAATAATATCAATCATTAGACTCTGCGTAGTCCGCGGTACCCGTTGTTGGTTATAAGTTCCATCCTTTCATAATGAAATAATGGGAAAACATATTTACACTGATAACCAACACAAATACCAAATGGTTACCAAAGATATTCCAAACAAGAAAAAAATTTAAGAACATTATTTAAATGTTCTATATCAAAGTTAGATCAAAGTTAGTAGAGTAAACCACGTAGATTTATTTTTATCAGCGCGCGTTACCTACCACACTCCACCTCCCGTCGTCAGTCATCCTCACTTTCAAATGAATATAACTTTTGAACGGATGAATAAAAATCCAATTTTTTTTCGCCAATTCTTTTTTAAAAATTATTTTGAACAAAATGGCTATCTTGAAAAAAAATAAAAAAACTATTAAAAAAGTAAAACAGGTAAGTGCAATAAAAACCCCGGTGCTTATAGCGCAAATGAATATAAATTATTAAAAAAAAAAAAATCTCAAAAATATTCACTAGAACAAAAGTTATTTTATTTGTAAAATCTTCGTGGGCCACCCTGTGGCCGCCCTATATATATATTTATAAATTTTAAGTAATAATGTTATTTTTGCATACAAAGAAATTGGTCCTTTCCTAAACAAGATCAAATGAAGTAGGAAATAACATCAGCTCGTTTGTCTAGAACGGAAATTGCATTTGAATTTGCTTAGTTTTTTTTAAAAATAATCTTTCCACCTTTTGCTCCAAGAAATTATTGTTGTTTTCTTGTCAATATATTAAAATATTAGGTAAACATTAAAAAAAAAAACAAAACACTTATTATTTGTGGCTTAATAAAATGTACTTCTTGTTTCTTCGCTTGTTATCAAATACTTTTACCTACCTTAAACGACGGGCGAAATAAGTCAATTAAACTTGGCTGTATACAGTTGCCTAAATAAATTCTGTTTGTGTTATTCGAGTGCATTCGCTCATATCGATGATAACTTAGTTAAGACTTGGAGGTTTTACTTTTAAAGTCTAATAAATAATGTGTAAAGACCATATGTACCTGTTTCATTTCCATTTTTGGGCTAATGTTTCGTGAAAAAAAGTAATGTGCATCTCTAGAAGGTTTATACTTAAAAGTCACGGTTCTCTTACAGACATTGTCAATACAATTGAGCAAATTGATTTTTATAAAGTAAAACTTATACAAGGTTTGAACATGTTTAACAGTTCTACTTACCTCGGACGGCGATGTAGCCTTGATGACTTCATCTATTTTGGGCTTTAATTTCTGACGCCATTGAATTTACAATCGTCAATAATAAAATCATTATTTCTTGCTCTTTTAATTTGATATAAAATGTTTATATAAATCAAACTTACTTACGGGTTTTGACTGTCTGATTAATGTATTAGTAGGTATCTCAATATTTACAACTAGATAAATTCCAGGAATCTTCCACGTGAGTTGAATATTTTATTTTATTAGTGTTATACATTAAATACATGTATAGTGAAAAATAAAATAGATAGTTTAAATCAAACGTGGGCTTAGAATATACTTATAGATATATCCACTTACCTATTTAATTTCCAATTTGCAATGGTGTTTTGGAAAAAGAGCGGAAAGTCACTGTTCGGTTACCGCATCAATACTGAATGGGTCGCTCGTATCTTTCCGTTGTTATAACGTCCTACGGTGGTTGCAGTATTGTTTCTCCATCACGGGTCAACTATTTGCACTTCGTTTTCTCGACTGCAGAACTTATTGTGCAGAGGTGGTGGTTGCACATTTGTATAGAATTTTATTAAGACATGGTACTACCTTCAAACGTTGACAACCTAAACAATTATTGTACACCATTTCTCCTAGAAGGGTTGGAATTTTTTTCTTTCATTCGCTTTTTCATGCAAAGTTTTAGGGTTTTTTTTAGGGGTTGCTGTGTGTGGTTTATACATACTACCCACATATTCGCATCGAAGCGTTTATTTTAAAGTGATTTTATTACATTCAGTTATAATAATTCCTGTAGACCTGTGATCTCTCCGTTACCACTGTTCGACTCTACTGTTATAGCTTTTTTTTTACTATAAAAGTTGTATAAAGCCAACAATTGTAGGACGTATTTAGATTGTTTTTTTTAGTTTTAGACATAAAGCTTAAGTGTAATCATATCTTATACGACGATTTAATGGTTTTATAGTTTTCGACATGTGTTGATCTTAAATTCAAATATTTATAAAGTTATAACAAACGATTGATAAAAAATAAAAATCAAACATTTTTTGCTTACAAATTTATGGATTTAAAAATTATGTTTCCAGATAAAAAAGTCGATACTTTACTAAGGTTACACAGAATAAGGACTGATACCCAGGAAGATCTTTTAAGCGGGGTTTTCCCAATTTTAAGGATAAAAAGTATTATGACAATAGATAACTGATATTCTTCTACAGATTTTTAATACATATAGGAACCTAGAAACTCATAGTCTTCATATTTGATGTCATGGAACTTTATTAAATATATGTAACGGTGTTGCAATACAGATTTTTTTCTGTTTAAGTCAGTTTAGGACTTGGCTAATCGTGTATGAACGAAATTATACTTTTAATAAATAAATAATCGATTTATCGAAAAATCGTCGTGTTGTCACATTTGTCTAGTTTTTTTGACGAGAAAATCCATTAGTGTTTTTTTTTGTGACGCTTAACCTACAGTTCCTGGGCTAATATATATTTAAAAGAACGTTATATTTTATTAATCATAAATTTATTTGTATTCATTTTCATATTCAACCTAACCTAACTTAACCGAAATAAAAAAATATATGTGCAATATAAATAATTCAAATGTACCTTGATTGTGACACGAACAATTATTTTTTTGATTGTATAATAATACATGTTATAAGTTTTAATAAAAGAAACCTTTCTGGAACGCCTTGCAGTTAGAGCCTAGCGACGCGGTAGAACTGATGTGTATTTTTCGTTGATCATTTTCAAAAACGATTGCACCAACCTGATAGAATGTTCTCCAATATCGTTTTTGATCTTATCGACAAAACGTTTGCCCACTTCAAGAATGTCGCTTAATGATTTGTCACTATCGGTCACGGCCGATATGATTTTCGTAGGTAAATTATAGTCTCTTCTAATATCCCAAGTCAAATAATCAATGGATTTGTTAAGTTCCGACTTGCATTGTCGAAAACGCTGTTCGTCGAAAACTTTCGCGTACGTCAACAGTGTTATGTAACAGTACACGTAGTTCTCGTAGATGCTTTTAAATTCCGTGTCGTCGTTCAACACCATTAGAACAATAAACATGACTAAGACCTCATCGTCGAAGTTCTGCGCGTGCACTAAAACGTCGCCGGAATCAGCAATTTCAGCAAGTCGAGACACATACGACAATGTTATTTGCAACATTATTATTTTTAACATGTCGATTATCCGATGCAGGTACTCTCCGAACGATTTTATTGTAAGTCCGGCGGCGAAATCCGGAAACCGTACGTCGATGCGTTCGGACTTCGCGGCCAAGAATTCGTCGAGAAACAATTTGAATGTCTGCTCGTCGCGGAAGAGCAACAAGCCGTACGCAAACGATTCGGACCTCGAGAACTGCAACGATTGGTTGGCCCAGTTGCTTTTGAAGTTTTCGTTCAGTAAGTGTTTGTTCCGTCGAATCGTGTCAATCACGCGAGCCGTTTCTTTTGTCCGAACAAAAGACGGACGTTCGTCTGCAATTGACAAGTGCTTTTCGAATTTCATGTTGAAATAGTTTTCGAACGCGCACCCTTCCGCAACGCGTCCGTCTATTACGGATAGCACGTAATCGTGCATATGTTGGTTTTCGTTGATAATTTTATAATTCAACGCACCACCGCCGCCGTTGACGTATTGCGCGAAGAAAACTCTTATTTGACGGGCGTATACGAAAAGTATCCATAGATCGTTTACCCGACCGTCTTTCGGATCCAACAACGAATCGATCATCATGGTCGCCTCTTCGTAGAACGAAAAATCCCCAACCGTCTTCGACGTGAGAACGCCGGTATCGCCGGTGTAGAAAACCGCACTGCCCGTCAAGTTCAAATGCAACTGAGCGCTGAAAAAATATCCGCATTCCAGTTCGTCATACAAGTGGGCTATTATTTGCTGCAAATCGTCGAGCGACTTCTTTTCCAAACTTTGACGGTCGTATTCGTGGTGGTCGTAACCGGTAACCATAGCCTGTAAGCGCAATACGTCTGCTATACAATTGTCGATTTCTTCCTCGTCGTCACAGTACGACCCGTAGAGAAATTGCGTTATACACAAAAATAACATTACATGCCACCATTTCAACACTGCCATTGTGTCACCTCGTACAGTAGTTTAACCTGTGAAACATTGTCAAATACATTGGTGTTAATAAACAATAACGATCGACGATAAAAGAAGATCGCGTAGATTTTACTTACTTGCGGACTTATAGATGTACCTTTCAATGCACTTATGTGCAACGTATCGTTTTATTTTGCACTGAAATGTTGTTGTTTTTTACATAAAGCTTCTTATTTAAGTAGACAGTCGCGCGGTGCGACGCACCTATTTGTTTTTATAAAAATGCAGTCGTTGGCTTACATAACGCTCCTATTTACATACGAAGTCATGCGGTTCGCTTACGAATTATTAATACTTTGAAATATCGTATGTACAGGGTGTTTGGTTAGTGTACCCTTGTTTAAGGGCTATCATGTACATCTTATCTTGTTCAATTTATTGCTTAGAAGATATAAGAATTTTTCGAAGTTTTCTTTTATTTACTTTTATAGCCAATAGTCCACGGGAGGTGGAGTGCGAATAATATTATTATAAGATTCCTTATAATAATATAAAAAGCCATGTAATTCTTCAACACCTATATGAATCACTATTTTAGTAAGAAAATGTATTAATTTTTTTCTCTAAAAAATAATTATCCTCTTTTTATACAAGTTTTACATACACAGTTTTATTCAAGATTTTATTTTAGATATGATGATGATTATTAAACATATAACGTTACTAGTGCACGTAGAATATTTAATGTGCACAATAAAAAATAGTTATAATGCATAAAAAATAAAGCAATTAAAATATTAATTTTGTCATTTACTTTATCCGTAATTGGAAGTTATTTTTGCATACAAACGATTTGAATCTTTTCTAAACATGCCAAAATTATTTAGCACATAGCATCAGCTGGTTTGTCTAGAATGGAAATTGCATTTGCATTTGATTAATTTTTTTTTTAATTATCTCACTTTTTACGCCGTTAAATAATTGTTTGTAGACTTCGTTTTAACTGCCTACCAAAATAGTAATAATGATATAGAAAAATAATTAATCATCATAAAATGTGACTTGGAAATATAAATATGACATAAAGGTGGTATGAATGACTAATTACCTACCAAAATTCCGAGTCGTGGTTTAAACAGATAAATATGAACAATAATACTGTGCAATATAATTTTATTAGGTAAAATGACTAAAAAAAAAACTACTGACTTCTAATTTTTTCAGTTAGAATTTGTGTCTTGGTGAGAATGATCACGTTGTACACCCGTTGCGATACTTTTTAAGAACTCATATTATAAAAGTGGTCATTTTTTTTGTGAACAACAGAGTACACTGTCGGGAAACCAGAGTGCATAGTCAACCCGTGACCGAGGACACAATCATTATACTGGAAATGAACTAGATAAGTAGATATAGATATAACTAGTGTATATCTATATGTTCTAAACCTACATTAAATTTGAACTATCCATTTTATTTGTCAATATTTATTTAATATATATACATATATAACACGAATCAAGTACAAGCTACAAGTTCTCATGAAATGTTCTGGAAATTCTGTCTAGTTGCATTTATTATGATAATATATTATTTAGACACTCGCGAAACGTAAGTAGTTAGATTTGTTTAAAAATATTATCTCATTTAAAATGGCAAGAAATCAAGATTTTATAATAGACTGTAAATTTATTTGTATGATTGGACTCATTTATTATCAACAAATGTCTGGCGTGGTCCGAAACGTCTACATAATAATTGTCCATACATTTTTCTCAGCATACCATTCGGTCTGCTTGAACAACATTATTTTGGCAGTTTGTCGAGAAAATACATAAATCTTGAGGTAAATATTTTTTCTGAAGTATACATTTCTGTCCCATTTTCCGCTCGGTCGTTTTGATTAATGTTTTGTTGAACATGAATATATCTTTATGGCGCTTCTCGACTGGTATTAAAAATCACCAAAGACTCACCGGTCAGAATAGAGTCGATAATAAATAAAACAGTTTATTTTCAAACCTTTAATGCGATTTACTTAATAATAGTCATTTCACTAATATATATGTATACATAGACATTAGGTATAAACCTTCCAGAAATGAACATTTAACAAACTTGGAATTTAGCACACGATAACGTGTTAAAAAGTAATATAAAATCAATGTACTTTTCAAATTAAAATATGTAGGATTAATTTTCGTACTCTGAATTGTTCTTACATAAATCTTATTTAAGCCAACCCAATACCAATGTGATTGTGGCCAGCCAGAATATGTTTTTCCACAACTCTCGTTCTCTCACTACATATAAAATATAATGTATATACCTGGACTCACTAGACACCAGGCTGAAAAATTGTAAAATAAAATAAAACGAAATAAAATTAGCTCGCGCCATAATATGTCCTTAAATGAAACACCCATTTCCCAATGCTCTCAAATCAAATATTTAGACTTAATATTTAACGAGCTCCTAACCTGATCACCACATTTAAAAGAAAAACGCGAAGCACTCAACTATCGACTTGACATGCTTCGACCTCTTCTACACTCAAAAATACCAATAAAAACAACCTCCTTCTTTACACTACCCTATATGAACTTATGATATTATTATCTGGTGATCAGCAAAAGCTTCAAACACAAAAACAATTCGGGCCTTTCAATCCATATGCCTCTGAATAATCACAAAGGGCCTCTTGGTATGTTCAAAATGTTTCACTCCATTCCGGACTCTTAGACGACTTGAAAGAAACTGGCCCAGAACTGGCTCAAGAACTACTAAAATTATACATTTTTTTATCTTATTCTAAAATAGTAACTGATAGGCCTAAAGAGTTTGATGAAGATCAAAACACACTTTATAAAATATAACAGGCGTAGCTAGTATTTAATTCAGAAAAGCGGTTTACAGCAGTTTTTTGGAGTAGTTCATTAAATATAAAAAAATTAACATTATGAAAAAAAATTTAGATGTGAACGAATACTTAGAGAGAGTTAAACCAACATTTTAAATACATTGTCAATAATATATTTTGTTATTTTATAAATTGCTTTTTTAATTAGTAGGTACTTAGTTAAATAAATATAAAATATAACTCAGACATAGCCAATATAATATCGCTTATAACAATTTAAAAAAAAACTTAACAATATTAACATAAAAGCATTCAGAAAGTTTAAAACTTTATAATTTTTAAAAAAAAATACTAGATTTATTCTGGGTTTTTCTAAAATTTTCTGCGAGAATGATTTGATGGAAATGATTTAATAATATCATCGTAATTCAAAATTGTTTTGGTTATAGATTACTCTATATTTAATAAGGCTAAACTATTTAATCTTTCTGATGACATAGTTGATTCTATTTAGGGTTCAAGTGTCAAAAGTCGATAGACCCTAGGATAATCCCAAAAAAGTTAAATATTTAGTAATTTCATAATGTTGTAAAATAACATTTTTTTTTTAAACTACAAAATTGCAATTTGCTTAAGAAATATTGAGTGTTAAATTGATCACCCTGTATATCTTAAAATGGCGTTACACCGTTTAGTTGCTACGAAAAATGATTGATTTCGCCTGTAAGCGTAAAGCGTTTTTTTTGTGTCTCAAAAAAACATGTTGTAAAATTTATGTGCATATTATGCCTTGTGCTCGGGTCTAAAAAACCGACACGAAGCGCTGAATATGAAGTATTAGGTGAACGCTATATATTTACAGTAAGAAAAAAATATTATGATACAGACGATTTTGGCTCGGTGGTAAACATACAAAAGAAAAACAGCTCATCGCAAAACAAATGCCTTACCTACGTTAGATTGGTTCAAAATACAGTATTACTATTTACTTGGCACCGATGAAAAAAGTCAGAATAACAAGTCATTGTATAGGTAAAGCATACGTTATATTTATACACACTTGTTACATGCCCAAGGGACATGATAAAATAACAATATAATGAAAATATTTTCTGTTGATTCACTCACACATAGCAATCTAGAAACTGACTACGGCCAAATTGTAAATTTACCCTATTTTTGTGGTTTTTCCTTAATAAAACAAAATTTGAATACAGATTTTTGAGAAAATTGTATATGTTATAGTTCCATTTTAGATCTACCTTCGGTCTAATTTTTAGATCTAAATCTAAAAAACTTTGCTTTCAAAATTGAAATAAATAAAAAAGTTCTATCCCTTCTAGGGGAAAAGATGATGGTTAGGTGTATAGCGTGGAAGTAAATGAGTATACACTAGTAACCAATATAAATATAATATTTATATTAAATATAATAATAATAAATAAATAAACCAAATATACAATTATTACACTACTATTTAACAACACAAATGATATCACTGAACTCGCGAAAGTGTAAGCCTGTAGTACTGTAGCAGGCGAGAGTTCGAGTGAGACTAATGTTGGCTGTATGATGGTGTAGCGCTGATATGCGCCGTAGAATATTCTAGGAGCGGCAACCGGTTGTGCGTGCTAGAACGTTCGGAAGCATTCTTCCAGAGACGCGGCGGCTATTGCTGTACGTCGCGAATGTTCGAGAATATTCCCTTACACCACATCGCCCCCTCTGGGAAGTGAGTTGCTGTGCTTGAAAGAACTTGGTAAAACAAACACGACGACCTGAACAAGGTCTGTCCGTGGACGTGGCATCATCAATGGCTGAGCTAGGAAGTTCTTCTTCAGCTGGTTTGGCTAGGAAGCGTTGGGTTGGATTGGAAGGGTTGGGAATGAAGTAAGCCGGTTTAAGGCGGTCAATTGACACGGTCGACTTCTTGTTTTCAACCTAAATGTCGGAAGCTTGTCACCACAGGTTAGAACTGGATAAGGTCCGGTGTAAGGTGGCTGAAGAGAAGCTCTAACCAAATCGGTGCGTAGCATGACACGAGTGCATGAGTTGCTAGATCTCGATGAACGAAAATGCGACCTTTCGAGTGAGGTGATGCAGGAACGGGACGGAGTTTTGAAATTACGGTTCGGAGTTCCGGATCGGTTTCTTGACTACGTGCCAGAGCTGAGATGTTAATTGGTGTTGGAACTCTCTTTTATGGATCGCATAAAAAAACAAAAACTGACAGCAAATAATATTGACAATAAATGGGGAAAAACGGCAATCTACGTAAATGAACAGATGACTTTAGCATACAAAGATCTATTTTTCAAGACAAGAAACGCAGTAAAAGAGGTTGGTTACAAATTCATCTGGTTCAAAAACAATAAAATCTTTGTTAGGAAAAACGA